TCTATTGTTACGTTACACACGCACGCACGCACACATCTCCTTTTTATTTGTCCTTTATTTTTTTTGTCGGTTTTATCTTTTCAAGACATCTATGTTTAATTATTTATAATAATAACTACAATATAGGGAGAATTATATTGAAGTCCAACATAAGAAAATTAATTACTATAAAATTTATTGATAATTAAATTAAATTGTATTAACAGCTAATTGTGTTGTCAACATAATTTAATTTAGTTGCCAATGGACTTTGCAATGATTTTTTTTTTTGTATGAGACCTAATTGTAATTCTTCCTATAATATATCTCTTATGGCTATTTAATATTTAATATATCATTTTCAATTTCCCAAACAGTACAAATCATTTTTCTGATTGGTTTGAACTATCAATTTTCTTATTTTTGTAATCTTCTCGTCACCAAGGGTCAGGTAATATATATGTAAAAGTTTAACATAATTATAAATAGTTTTAAACCATTGAATAATTTCAATCTTATAGAGAGCCATACAAGCTATCCTACACTAAGATAAAATTCCTATCCTAATAATTAATTATATTTTGCATTTCCAAAGACTTCATAAACTTGCAAAACCTCGGTTGTGGAAAAAACATGTGCCTTTTGAATGTTCTGTCAAATCTCATAGAGCAAAGAACTTAAGTGCCATTAACTCCCATGCTGTTGCACGTACGAAGAAGATAAGATAAGCACAACAATTTTAATACAGATCAACAATATATGATGTACGCCAGTTAAGGAATTTATGTACGCCAGGCCAGAGGAGAAAGTAATTATAGGAATATAACTACAATATGATCTTCCAACGCTTTCTAGTCTGAACATTCTACACACACACACAACAAAGTCTCGGCCTTGAGGCATATTGCTATGAGGATAAATTAATAGAAATACATCAGAGGAGATAAGTATTAAACTTACATTAATGGAAAGGAAGTTTTCCCCTAATATTAAACTAATATTTATAAAAATGACCGCACATATTTTTGACAACCTCACTAGTACAAAATTTAGCTTTTGCAGGAGACTTTTTATATCGGTTGGAAGGCAAACGATGTAAAAAATTCAGGCGGTGACAATTTTGTAATATTAGCCATGACTATTAGACTTTTTACATCAGGTGACATCGGGTGCTTTTCTATTCGATGTAGAAAGTACTTTTTACATCGGGTGCTTTTTCACCCGATGTAAAAAGTACTTTCTACATCGAATAGAAAAGCACCCGATGTAGAAAGTATACTTTTTACATCGAATAGAAAAGCACCCGATGTAGAAAGTATACTTTTTACATTGGGTGCTTTTCTACCCGATGTAAAAAGTACTTTAAATTTTTAAAAAAATTAAAAAAATACACACTTTTTACATCGGGTGCTTTTCTACCCGATGTAGAAAGTACTTTAAATTTTTAAAAAATTAAAAAAATACACACTTTTTACATCGGGTGCTTTTCTACCCGATGTAAAAAGTCATTTAAAGTTTTAGTTCTCATCATTGTTCCCGCACAGAACGTGTTTGCATCATTTTCCTCCTTGTCTTCTTCTCTCCTCGCCTCCATATTGTGTTACCGTCCTCCTCCTCCTCCTCCTCATCCCTTCTCCCTAAACAAGATACCTAAAATCCAAGATCCATTTTCTCCAAATCCTTCTCCTCCTTCCTCCAAAGTTATTTTCGCATATTCATAGGACAGTTTTAGTAAATCTGCTCTTACAGGTTCATTAACCGTTGGATCAAGCTAAAATTTTGTCAGATAGTTTGGAACATCTAATGCGTCATTTTCAACGGTTGGATTGTTGATTAGTTTCCAGATGTGAGATTTATTTTGTTTGCATTACAGCCTCTGTTTTGGGTGCTTCCACCATTCTTCTCCTTCTCTCACCTTCTCTCTCATTGGTGTCATTCTTGTCAAATTTGGGTTCCCTTAGCTTGAATATTACTCATTCTCAGTTATTTATATGTTGCCATTGAATATGAATTTGATCCTGTTTGATATTACTTATTTGCTTTTGGTTGGATTTGCTAATTAAAGGATATGCAAAAGTTAATACCTTGTTCAATCTGTGTATCCAAGTTCATGATTGAATTATTTTCATTTATATTTTATATAAGTTTGCAGTAGCCTCAGCAAAATAAAATGAGAATAAAAATATAATCAAACAACTATATAGACAATGCTAAGGTCTTAGTTCTTTCTCTTACCCTGTTTTTGGTTATTCAATATGTCATGATAGATTTGCATACTGACTTGTGCAATTTTTAGGTTGCTTGTGGTGGAAATGGTGATAGTATTGTTTCTACAATCATGTTTTTGGCTTCTATAGTGATTTTCTTATTAATGATTTTCATACTTTCTTTTGTTGTTGTTTAATGCCCCTTCTATATATGATGTTATTTTGGTTTCATGGCATAAATACTACATGTTTAAGAAATCTTCTTTTCCTTGTTTTTTTAATTAAACGATTTCATGTCTTAATGAGGTAAGCAAAAGGATTCATGCTCTGCACCTTAAGTTGGCTTTACATATATTTTTCTGCTCATAAAATGTTAAGTTAACTTCAACAAAGTGCTACTTACTTAGTTCATTTTTATTTATCTATCTATCTATTAATATTAATTATTTTTCTTCTTCTTCATGTTCAAGGTATCCACTATAGGAGGAAGTGGTTGCAAATGCAAGAAAACAAGGCATTCTTCAGTACTTTTGAGCTAGTCTTGCCCTGTTTGAAAGGTATCGTATGGTTGGAATATTAGAAATAGTCAAATATTTAATACTTATAAATATAAGCTTTTATGTTTGCATATTCAAATTACTTGAGTAATGGCTATTCTTGGCTGTTCTTGGTAGTTTGCTTCAAATTTTCTATTTATAGTTAACCACTTTTTTCTTTTCAATGTCTCTTTAGTTGTGTTGAGCACCTTTTATATATGATTTTGGCCTTCTATTTTAAGATAACTGTCCAATGTAAGCTAAAATTAAATCTATAATATGATTTTTTTTGTAGTATATATGTACCTATAATGTTTTCAATAGTTAATAGTAGTTTCATTTTCTTCTACAAGGGTATGAAACCCATAGGACAAAAAAGCTGAGGTCTTACCAGATTTTGGGAATGAAGACTATCAACACTTGGTGTGTGTATATGTGTTCAACTTGCTCATATAGGCAAAGAAGGAGTTTCTGTCAAGAGCTTGTTCCCCTTGCTTTTGTGCACTTGTATTTTCTAAGGAATTTTAGGTTCTTTTAATTTAGCATACAAAAATTTTGTTTATATTGTTTAATTATAATTTCAATTCTTTTGTTATGATTTAAATAAATAAAAGTTGAATATAAATTGTTATATATTTGAATAAATTAAATAACTCTTTCCTAATTTATGGCTATTGAATTTTATTTCTATTTATTTTAAAGGTATTTTTCTAAATTGTAGGGTTTACAACCTAGAAAAACAACTCTATTTTTTTTTCAAAATAATATTGCTATCTACAGCGGTTGTAGATAGAACCGGTGTAGAAGGTGAACTTTCTACATCGGTTCTCCCCAAAACCAGTGTAGAAGGTGGACTTTCTACATCAGTTCTAGCCACAACCGATGTAGAAAGTCCACCTTTTACATCGGTTGTACAACCGATGTAAAAAGTCTCGTACTTTCTACATCCCCTAAAACAACAATGCTACGTGAATCGATGTAAAAAGTATTTTTTAGCCATTGTAAAAAGTTTTTTTTGTAGTAGTGCCTGTTCACCCAGTGCCCAAATAGATGCTAAAAATGATTTGTATACTTGTGTCAATTCTATATATATATATATATATATATCATTGCGAGTATTCACCTTACCCATGGCCTAGTAAATCTAATCTTAATTGCTTGAAATATTGGGCCACATTAGGTTAGCACTATAACATAAAAGGCTACAAAAACGTTTTTTATATTAATTCCTAATGGGATTTGGATTGGTGATTGTATTTTGTATAGGCAATCAGGCATTGAGCATCTGTATCATCTAAACTATTTAAATTTATATTAATGGTTTTAAATTCATACTTTACTTGACATTAATGAATAAGCGAGTTTATCTGAACCATTAATATGTATTTCAACAGCTCAAATAATACAAACACTCAGTATCTATAATTATAGAATTCAAATCCTCCATAAGGATGTTGTTTCAAGAGATGTAGAAAGTCATTTTTCTACATCAATTCCAAGCATGCCGAATTGAAACCATTATTTACAAAGAGAAGCCATCAAGCTCTAACCAGCAAGCAGCAAGTTGGATAATTAGTTGAATTTATAAAGTTGTTTTTCTTTATCTATATCTTGTTTAGTAAATTAACTTTATGATTATAATTTGAGGCTTTTTAATTAATATTAAAATCTCTTGATCTTATAAGATAGCGATGGCAATTAATGTGTTAAGACAATTATTAATTAGTTTTTAAATGAACAATTGGCCTTTTGATTTCAGCAATAATTGTTAATTTGTCAGTTGCAGCTCTGTTACATTTTGTATGTATGTAACAATTTTTTTTTGTCCTAACCCTTCATGATATTTAATGGCCGGTCCTTAATCCCAACCAAGAGTTCTACTAACTATTAATTAAGAAAAATTAAGTACAAGCTGGTTGCCAACTTGCCATATGAGATGTATTGACGCGTACCATGATGAGTGCATTAATTATATGAGAAAATTTTAACTTTTTAAACAAAGAAATGGCTTTTTGGCTTCACCAATAATTTTTTTTTCTGTTGTAATTTCAGCGTCAAGATTATTTGCCAGATAAATGATTTGTAAATGGTGAAACCATGCATATAGTAGCAGAAGAACAAGATTATGAAAATAAAGTGTTTGTTTCTGATTGTATGCATTACTTGTCAAATATAACGTTGACATCTTTGAACTTCTCAGGAACTTCAAATATAAAAATATATAAACGAAGTGTGGAATTACACATAGACCCATTTTTTCTCCTTCTCTTTTCTGAAATCTGTTCAAAGTTACCATGGCAGAAGCTCATGAAGTGCAGCTCCCCTTAAAAGGTATAGGTCCGGTAATAGTATATATACAAACATTTCATCTCTTTTCTTCTAAAATTACCAATCACACATGAAATATTTTCTTTCATATAGCAGAGCAAAATGTTATCATGTAATTCATGTAGTTGATTAATCCATTAATGGGATAAAACTTGTTGGTGTTATATACTCGCTTGTTTCGTGTTCTCATGATCACGATCTCTTGTGTGTGTTGTGTATGCGTGTATATTTTGAGAGGGGGAGTTCAAGGATTGATATTTTCATCATTTGTTTTTTTTTTTCCAGTTTCTGAAGGAGCATCCGAAACAATTATTCCTAATGGGGTTGATAGTAATTTGTCCAACCAATCAAGAACTGCAATCAAAATCAAAACCAGATATCAGCATTGGTTAAGAATAGCCTTGCGCGTTGTTCTTGTGTTTGTGGGCCAATCATCTGCAATACTTCTGGGAAGATTGTACTACCAGGAAGGTGGAAACAGTAAATGGATAGGATCACTTGTCCAACTTTTGGGTTTCCCTATTCTCCTCCCACTTTATATTATTCCTGCATCCAAAAATCCCACTACAAAAATTGCTGTGCACAATGATGATAACCCACCTTCAGCTTTCATGCTAGCTTTTGTCTATGTCTTTCTTGGTCTTCTTCTTGCATTAGATTGCTTCTTATACGCTACTGGTCTGGCTTACCTTCCTGTTTCCACATATTCTCTTATCTGCTCATCAAAATTAGCCTTCAATGCCTTCTTCTCCTTCTTCCTTAACTCACTCAAATTCACACCTTGCATCGTAAACTCTGTAGTCCTTTTAACAATCTCCTCCATCCTCCTCGTTTTTCAAACTGGTTCTTCTACAGAATATTCCAGCACTGAAGTTTCATCAAAAAAGAAATACTTGATTGGGTTCATAAGCACTGTTGGTGCTTCAGCTGGGTATGGCTTGCTACTTTCTTTGACACAGCTTGCATTCAATAAAGTCATGAAAAAGGAAAGCTTCAAGGGGATTTTGGACATGGTGGTGTATCAGGCACTTGTGGCATCATTGGTAACACTGGTGGGGCTGTTTTGTAGTGGAGAGTTTAGAGATTTTAAAGCAGAAATGGAGGAGTTTGAGAAAGGGAAGGCAAGTTATGTGTTAACATTGAGCTTCACTGCTATAACATGGCAGGTTTATGCAGTTGGGTGTTTGAGTTTGATTCTGGAGGTGTCATCATTGTTCTCTAATGCTATAGGCACTCTGGGTTTGCCTATTGTGCCAGTTTTGGCTGTGTTGTTCTTCCATGACAGCATGAATGGGTTGAAGGTGATCTCTTTGGTGGTTGCTGTTTGGGGATTTTTGTCATACGTATATCAGCAGTACTTGGATCAGAAGACTAATTCTAAGACTCATCAACACATACAGAAGGAATAGTGATATTTTCAGGGATTCACAGTCTCATCAAGAGGTGAATCATTGTACGTGTTATATGTTTACATGATTGTTTAATGCTGCTATGCTCTGCATAAATTATGTATTTAATTTTGCTTTCATAAGTTTATATAGCTACCAAACATTTGTTTGAGTCTTTTGATTTGTTAGTCTTTCAAATAGACAAGTTTTTTTTTTCTTTTCAAGAAACAAGTCATATTTTCAAAAATTTGACTCTTGCTTTATCATTCCATTTTAATTTATTTTTATAAAACAGGTAGGGAGTGAAATTTCTTTGATGATTCGATGAATTAACATTAAAATACCTACTAAGCTGGCCACCATATGCATGCACTTCATGTTTTATAATAGGAAATTGAATCTCAAATCAGTAACCTGTATGGTATGAATATATATAAATATATATTGAAGGATATTATAACCAAAAACAATAATATGAAAAAGAGCAAACTCAGAGTCTTATCAAATCTAAGTATTGCAGAGTCTACTTGATTACTTATGCTAAGATTGGATTACTAGAGTCCTTTCTTTGACAAGACATCCATGACATCCTTAGTTAATCGAGTTGTAATTTTTGCTAGCTTGATGTTCAAGAGACAACTAGATTGATTCTCATCACATTCTTTATTATCCTCTTATGATCTTCTAGATAACTCATTCTAGAAAAGCTTACATTCAATTAAAGCATTTTAATCAATTAATCCAATATTAATAATAAAGATACAAATATCAATAATATATAATTGCCAACAATTAATCAAAAATGACAAAAACACTTTTTTTTGGCCAAGAACAATTAATCATAATACTAGAAACCAATAGTAATGAAACAAACAGAGAGCACAAAGCAACATAACAAAAGCCAAAGGCAAAAGGAAAAAATAGGTGACAACAAAGGTAAAATTCCTAGATTCTAGCAAATCCCGATCTAGGACAATAGCCAATGGAGATGGGGGCTTTGAAACCCAATCCAAAGAGCACACCTCCTTTCCTACTGCATGAGACAACTAGTTAGTAGCACAGTTAAGATTTCGTGGGATCCACTTGAAGCCAAAAGAGCTTAGTGCTTGCCCATGATTCAAAATATTATCCACAATGGTCAAGCATTCCCAATTTAGGTAGAGGAAAACACGATGCATAGCTTTAACCAATGGGAAGCAATTTGACAGAATTAGTACCTTTGTCACAAAAGAGGAAAGACACCAAAACAAACACAAAAGTAAGGCCTCAACTTCACTGTAGAGAGGAGAGATAGCTTGCACAAACTTGAAGGATACTTTTATACATCATCCTAAAATTTCACGCATAATGAAACCAAAATCAGCTTTAATTAGACTAGGGTCAAAAGCACTAACACAAAATGCAAAAAAATCAAACACAGATAAATCTGAATTGAAAACTCCAAAAGTAAGAATAGCATTAGCTGCTTCGTGAGCTCTACTATCCACACAAGTAGCTCACATGACCATGGTGCCCCAGTTATTAGCTGCGCATAATGTCTCCAAACAAGCATTAGCTAGATGTATAATAACCATTGAATCAACAAATTCCTTTTCAAAGACAAAGGTTCACCTAGCTTTCCAGATCTGCTAAAGAGTAAATGCAATCAAGGCTTTAGTAATATCCTAAATTTTTGTATTTTGTAACAGGGGTAGTAACCATTCCACCATTCGTCGTGTTTCCACCCATAAACACCCTTCATTTCTAATTAGAATAAACTCAACTTTACCATCAAAATTGAAAGTGAACTGCCTATTTTCAAGAGGAAACCACCTCAAGTCATTTTTAACTTTGCCAACAAAAAAATTAAATAAAAACACAATACCAAAGCAGAGGCAAAGCCACAAGAATTTCATCCCAATTAAAAGGCACACTACTACAAAAATAGCAATATTCAACAGTTATTTTAGATAATATTCAAGGGTTATGAACTGTTGAGTAATCAGGCGCTGAATATTCTCTAAATCCTTATTCAATGATTTTTAATCGCTGAATATTTAACCTTTATTCAACGGTTTTTTCTTCAAAACCGTTGAATATATGGCCGTTGGATTTTTTTTAAATAACTACAAGAAAATATGCAACGGTTTTTATTTAAACCGTTGCATATTCTTAGTATATTCAACGGTTAAAATGTATAATCGTTGAATATATAACTGCAGGATATGCAACAGTTTTTTAAAAACCGTTGCATATTCTTAATATATTCAATGGTTAAAAATTTAACCGTTGAATATATAGTGCAAGTTATTCAACAGTTTTTAGATATAACCATTGAATGTTTTGGGTTACTTTTTTCATATACATGTTTTACATTTCTAACAATCCTCTGTATTGAACATTTACAAATACAATATCCAGCATACCCATAACAAAATTTCAACAGCCAACAATATTATCCTATACATAAAATGATAAAATTTACATGGTGCATTACTACATAAGCTATGTACAATTTGAACTAGCTTAAATTAAACCTATAAGTGGCCAAAATAAAGCTTCATATCTCAAAAAATTGACTAAGTAGGTATAACTATATGTATGTCAACTTTAAATATATACCAACATCATCTATTCATTCACTATTGCTGGTTGTTATAGCTAAACCATGCTTGAAAAATGCCACATGCTAGCTCTTCAAGGACTTCTTCCATTTGAGCCTCAGTAAATGTGTCACAGTATGCGTCCTCATAGTACTGATTGCAAAAACAACAAACTAAAGTCATATTAATTACTAAAAATATTAAATAATGAAGAGAAGGTTGACAATATATATACATTGTCTGGAAGAGTCCTGACAGGAGCGTGTTGAATTATATCCTTCATATATCTTATGATAGCGTACCCACAATCCTTAGCTTTGTCATGTTGTTTCGGGCACTACGATCACACATTAAATAAAAAATCTGATCAGTTAATGACATGATATAACTTATATTTATGTTGTAAATACACAATAAATGATAAATACATATACCTTGATAATTGTCCATGATGTTGCTTTATCAAGTCGACCGCTATCCATTATTAGTTGTCGAGATTGCTGATTGACCGTAGTGCGGTACATGATAATGGCTCTAACATGCAACAGAAAAGTTGATGTGAGAAATATGCATGTAACAAGAACAAATTACACACACACACATACACACATATGCACAAAACTTAGTGAACTTACTAATTAATCATCTCTACTATATGTGGTCTGTTGGTAGGATCACCACTTCTAATAGGGTCGAGATACCATACTCTCCCTATAGTTGGATTGATCACAAGTATCATCCAATACCCCCTATGATAATAATTACAATTAGGAAGTGTCATAATTTAATTTTGAAGAAAGTAAAGTATCGTAAAATGATTTACCCTTTAAGGTGCCATGAATATTTTGTTCTTATTAGCGCCACGTTGCTTGAAGTATTTAGAAAGCTTCTGAGCTATTTCTAATCCTTGCTTAGGACTCATTGTCTCGTGGCCATAAGGAGAGACCAAGTGGGGACTGACGAGTATAACCCTTTTTGCTACATCTCTCCCGGCAAGCATGGTGATGTACAGGTTTCTTAAATAATGTCAACATAAATTGATCAATAAATGACTAAAATATAGATATTGGTAAATATCTAATACAAGGTTTTAGAAACATACCTTATATATAAGTTACACAAAGTAGTAGTAGCCTGTGTATGGTTGAATAAGTCACTCAAAACCTCATTGTTGACTTGATCGACAGACTCTGGATCTTCATACATTATTACAGGGAAAGGGAGCATTACTCCTTCTTGCATCTTTGCATAAGTCTTAAGCAACTTCCGGTGTTTGTTGGGTGTGACTAGTTGACGCTGAGGTGTTGATTGAGAGGCTTTAGGCACATGGGTTTGAGGGAGAACCTTCGGTGCATTCTTGGGAAATGTGATGGACTCCTTGGATTTGCCAACGGAGTTCTTATCATTTCCCCTCTTTCTCTTATTATTCGCCGGTGCCTTTATAGCCTCTGGTGCTTTCTTAGCCACATGCTTATCAACAGGCTAGTTTTTCTCATACACACACATATATATATATACTTAGAGATCAACTATAAATAAATTTTAGTTATGAATTTAGATGTTATACCTTTGGGGACGGCATTGAAATACGTATAAGATGAACCGGCCATGCTACAAAGCTTCCAATTGCATCTACTACTGTCCTTGCATCTTTAGTGGGGGTGAGGTAGATCATAATTAGGCTTTTCAGCCATCTTCAAAGAAACGTTGACTGTCCCTTCAGGGAGAATCTCATTGTGAAGCATGATTTGACCAACAATATTGTATATTCATCCTAGTACAACCAAACTACCGTCCTCTCCCAAACAATCAATATCAGCCTCACCCAAAAAGACAAAATCATTACATAATATAAATAATATTACCATGAATAAGGTTAGGAAATCAATAATATTACCTCAGGTAGGAGTTGAGATGAGACTGTGCAACTGTCATTCATACTAGGGCTAGCATCACTCAGTGGAAGCTCTAACTTATGCCGATTCAACAGCATGTTAATAAGTTTAGATTGCTCTTATATCTGCTGTGACTGTGCTTGTATCTGTTACTTCTGTTCTGCTAGCTCTTGCCTCAGTTTTTGAACCTCAGCAGAAGAAGCAGTCTTTTTACAACGCTTGTACCCCTCTTCAAAGTATTCTTTCTTTGTGACACCAAAGCCGATGCCTTGAACATAATCAGGATGGTCAATATTCCTCAATGCCTTCTCTAAGATATCCTCATCAGTAGTAAGAGTGCCTGCTGATGCCTCCTGAGTCAAGCTCTCTTGTGAAGCAATAAAAGTAAGGTAAATAAGTAAAAACAAATAATTAATAACATTATATCATTAACACTTACTATTGTGTCAACAATCGCCTTTGTTTTTGGATTATCAATATTGCCTTGTCTGTTTTTCGAGCCTCAGCCCAAATTTTGCCACGAGATATAGAACCCTCTAACACCTGCTCTTTTTTAATCAAGGCCTTTTCAATACCCGCATACCCCTTACGCCCAGCCTTATAAGTGTATTCATTCT